ATTTTATTTAAAATTTATTTATTATGTAATTAAAATTAAGCATTTTAATTTTTTAAATATTAAAACACCTTGATTTTTATGTCTTCTTTTACATTTTTATATTTTATTTTGTATTTTTTTTTAAATTTTTAATAATTTATACATTTCCTATGCGACGAACACGCCAGTTTATTCCGATATTTCCTTCGAGGAGTTAATCATGGCGAATGCGCTTAGGGCTGTATTAAGACAACTTCTAACGCAAGTAAAAAGGTGAGAGTACAGCAAGATCCTGGAGCGAAAACCATGGGGTCGGAGGTGGAGGTATCAGAGCCGTTGCTTTCGGGGACCAACAAGATCAGTACCTTTCCGTCGGAACGGGTGCCGGAATGGAAGGACCAGATAACGATCAGAGGGTTGGCCGCCAGTGCCATGCTGGGGACTCTGTTTTGCATCATTACGCAAAAGCTCAATCTGACGGTCGGTATCATCCCGTCTCTGAACGTCGCCGCTGGCTTGCTGGGATTCTTCTTCGTGAAATCGTGGACTGGTTTTTGGTCCAGGTTAGGATTTCAGGTTAAGCCTTTCACGAAGCAAGAGAACACAGTGATCCAGACTTGCGTGGTCGCTTGCTATGCCGTTGCTTGTAGCGGTAAAAATCGTCACTGCTGATTTGCATTTATAAATTTCATTGTGTAATCATAGTTTGTAATTGTCCATTGATTGAATTTAAGCTCTGAAGGATTAAGATTTGTTGGAGTTAGTAATGGTTCTGTCTGGTGTTGAATTTTGCATTCTTGTTTTCTTGGATGGACAGTTGCTTTCTTTCTTGAGTTTAATTTATTTCCTTATTTGACAGGGGGTTTTGGTTCATATTTAATTGCAATGGATGAGAGAACATATAACCTTATCGGTGTGGATTACCCTGGTAACCGTGCAGAAGATGTTAAGAACCCAGGGTTGCTGTGGATGATTGGTTTTCTATTTGTTGTCAGCTTCATTGGGCTTTTTAGTCTTGTTCCACTATGTAAGGTAACTGTCTTCATTAGCATTTCTGGTTGGCATGCAACAGGTCTTCATTAGGATTATCATTGTTACTGCTTTCAATGCTAAAACTATCAGCATATTTTGATCTTATCGTATGACTAGTTTGGGCTATCGGCTGAAGTTGTGTTTTATAGTTGAGATCCCATCTTGCTTTCCTAAATATGGCCATGGTCTGCATCAACAGTCATGGACATATGAAGTTCCATTCTTCTTTAGTCTTTGTTGACTTTCTTTTGGTGTATTATCTTTTTCCTTTTCTATTAATAAATCTCGTTCGTTGGGGCACTTTGGAATCAACTTTACACCTGAAAATTTTATTTGTTATGTATTCCTATTTTTCATTTTGATAAAGGCCTTGGTTCTGACAATGATGAAGAGTGTCGTCTAACATTTTACTTAGGCAATTGAAATATACAGACTTCTCTTACGCCACGACTATTGACTAGTTAAAATGTATTCTTCTTGTTTTTCCTCTTTATTTTATTAGGTCATGATCATGGATTATAAACTTACATATCCTAGTGGAACAGCAACAGCAGGGTTGATAAATAGCTTTCACACCAACAATGGAGCTGAGCTTGCAGGGTAATTAGTTCTTATTAGATATATAATGGTCTTCATCTTTTTGTATGTTTTGATATAATTCCTTTAGATCCATGATAATTACTTGGAAATTACTAGAAAAACTCACACATTAAGGATAG